CAGAATAGGTTTTTCAGTATATAAACCCCATTTATTCCAATAAATATCTTTAATAAACCAATTCCAAGATAAACTCAGCCCCACAAATGGTTTTGTGGTTTAAGTTGTTAATGTGACAACCTGTTGTTGTTTCAGGCCGACACAGGAAACGAGGTCAACAACGAGCTGGCCAATCGGATGTCTCTGTTTTATGCCAGTGCCACACCGATGCTGAAGACGCTAAGTGACGCTACGTCAAAGTTCGTCTCTGATGTGAGGCCATCCATAGATTTTATTGTTTTGATGTCAACTTTACATTTTATGTATGAGTCCACTGACATTTTTGAAATGTTCACAGTCATTCAGTTTCAGCTTCATTTTTCACAACAAGGTGACACACATGCTTTAACGAAAACATACAGTCGCTGCCACACAGGCTCACATTAAAGGATCACTAGGCAGAAATTTTTTAAAGTGAACTTTTTTGGACCTGCGTATGCTTTTGGTTTTGGTTGCTGACAAAGCTGCAACACACAAGAAACAACAGGCTGCCACAGAAACAACTGCTCTGGATGGGCTCTGAGGGTTGTGTGCATCAATTTAAATGGTTTGATGCTGCAGGTGTAGTGAACATTCAGCCTGTTCGCTCACACATCAGACTGCTAGTTGTTACCATGAACCTCCAGCAGAGGTCGCTACAGCCCAGCGTTCTCTGTGAACACAGCAGTGCCACAGGTCCAAACACGAATATGTGAGCACATAATTGTTTCAGGGCAGCACAGCAGTTAGCAAGAAGGCTCCGTGTTTGAGCCCCAGCTGACTCGGGGCCTTTCTGTGTGGAGTCTGTATGCTCTCCCTGTGCCTGTGTGGTTCTCTCCAGGTACTCCGGCTTCCTCCCACAGTCCAAAGACATGCAGCTTAGGTTGACTGGTGACTGTAACTTACCTGTAGGAGTGTGTGTGAGTGGTTGTCTACATGTCAACCCTGTGATAGACTGGCACCTGACCAGGGTGGACCCCGCCTCTCACCCAGTGTCAGCTGGGATTGGTTCCAGCCCCCCCCCGACCCTATCTATAGATAGATAGACAGATAGATAAGTAGATAGATGAATCATTGTTTGAGGCTGAAACTTGTGTCAAGCTGAAGCTGATCATTTGTTGACTTGTGATTTTTGGATGAAACCTTATTATGCTGTTGTTGTCAAGCAGAATCCAGATGTCCCGATTGAAAACACAACAGACTGTTTGAGTACGATGGCTAGTGTGTGTAAAGTGATGCTGGAAACACCGTGAGTTCTCATCTGTTCTTGAATGCATCATCATCATGATCACAGCCAGTCACCAGCTCACTCCCTGGCTCTGTGTGTGTGTGTGTGTGTGTGTGTGTGTGTGTGTGTATGCGGCGTGCAGGGAGTATCGCAGCCGCTTCACCAGTGAGGAGACCGTGTTGTTCTGCCTGCGTGTGATGGTCGGCGTCATCATCCTGTACGACCACGTTCACCCGGCCGGAGCCTTCGTCAAGACCTCTAACATTGATGTATGTTAACGCCGCTTTGTCATTTCTTCCATGAGCATCTCAGTCTGACCGATGAGCTGCAACATGAATGTTTTCTGCCACAGTCGGAACAGTTTATTTATTTTCCGACAGATTGTGATAAACTTTCTCCCAAACTTCAACTGTGGTAGTTGCTCATTTAGTTACAAACACTGAGTGCATTTTTTTTTCCTCATTAAGCAAGATGTTGAACATTTTTATGCAATTTTAGGTTGAATAAAGTCCATTTTATTTTGGTCATTATCAGATGAAAGGCTGCATCAGAGTGCTGAAGGAGCAAACGCCCAGCAGCGTGGAGGGACTACTCAATGCTCTCAGGTCTGTAAACTCCCTCACACTCCACTAATGCATCAAACGTTAAGGGAGGAATCTAAATCAAACTGCCAGTGTTGGTGTGTTCCCGCTGACAGGGTGGTTAATTCAAACGCTTGGTGAACAGTTTGCAGGCAAATGTTCTTTTGGCTATGTTTTACGAGGACCCTGAAAAAGCTGCATCCACATTCCAGATCTGATGTGTCCACAGTAGTGTGAACAGACCAGATGTCCTCAGACCAGATCTGAGCCACCTGTGTTTTTTGCTCCTAGACCCGATTCCTCTCTGACCTCTGACTGTGCAGTGCTGTCAGAACAGTCAGATCAGAATCCATGTGGTTGTTTTAACATCTCCTCCTCTGCACACATGGCCTGTCGTCATCATTTGGCATCAGCCACTCACAGACCAATAACAATAAATATGGAGGGAAGCAACGACAGTGACGGGGTCAGTGGAGAGACCAGGACGTTTCACATGTGGTGCACCTTTATGGAGAAGCTTCTGATCAGGCCAAACTGGGAGGAACAGATTGTAACCTAGCGGTTTGGGAGGAAACTGGGCCTTTTGACCATCGCACACACCACCTGGTTGTTGTTCTTGTGTGGCGGTTTAGGAGCTGAGCGGTGTTCACACTGGAGCCGGGTACATGACCCTGACACACACACGGTGACAGAGCGTTAAGGCCTGGGATGTGGATGCAGCCTGAGTTGGTGCTGCAGTTTATCTATTCAGTCCAGACAGAGTCTAAATGGATGATGGCAAAATCAGGATTTTTTTCAGACTTACTCTTTTGACTCGGTGTTAACGTGAATCAAACGTAATCAGTGTCTTCATCCTTTTCTGACCTAATACTGTAAGTACTGTTGTTAAATGGTCACTGAACCACCTCCTCTGCTCTGCAGGTACACGACCAAACATCTGAACGATGAGACTACCTCCAAGCACATCAAAAACATGTTGCAGCCAAATTAACTCACTTCTTCAGCAGAACGCAACTGGAACAATACAGGGTTGACAAAAGTGTTGTGGTCCAAATTTCAAAAGAACTACTGAACAAAGCTTTATCCGACATCTTTGTTTAACTTGTTTAACTTGTTTTTTATCGTTATTTGAAAAATGTTTGTCAAAAAAGAGATACCTTTTACCTGTTTGATTTAAAAAAAGCTGTCCAGCTGTTGTGTTCATGTTGCATTCATGTCAGGTAAGATTTCCAGCAAATACAATAATTGGGAAATGATATTTAGTCTGCCACCTACTGGTCATTACCAGTAGTACAGTTGACTTCTTTGTTGTTAACAGTTTTTTGCTCACAGTAATGGGCCAAGATCAACATGTTAACACATAACAAACCTTCAAGCTGATGATCAGGATCCGTCAGTGTGTTACAAACCACTGTGGATAAACCAGTAAGTGACACTGGGTTCTCCGGGTCCTCCTGCAGCTGTGAATGACTGAACATTGACTGTAACATGTTGCTCTGTACTCCTGATGTGAATGCAGCTGTAACAGTTTTCCAGCAGCTCCGATCTCTGTCGCCCTTTGTTATAGAGCGTTCAGCCCCTTTTCCACCAACAGAACTTTTCCAGGCCCGTCCTCAGGAGCTTTTGCCTCATTTAGATTTAGTTCCTCAGCTGCAACTCCTGCCTTAGATCTGAACTTTTTAATTACCTATAGTGGATTTTCACAGCATTACTGACTGGTCAGCCTCAAACTGTAACATTTCGGGGATTTTTCTTCTTAGTTGTATGACAACTTCTTTGTCTCTTAGAGCGTCATGTGACCTGCAGTGCAGATGATGCTTGCTTCTCAAAGTCAAACTGGTTCCTGGAGTAGTGCCATTAGTTTCTGGATTCTTTGGTGGAAAAGGGTCATAGTGCTCAGAGGACTGAAATGGCTCGTTGCTCCTCAGAAGATGAGCTGACGTCTGGTGAGGCTGAGTTTTGTGGCCATAAACCAAACAAGGGCATTTCACACGGTCATTTCATTTCACATTTTTTTGAAACCCAGCTGTACTTCCACAGTCAAAAACCGGTGGTATGATCTGAAGCAAGGTTTACAGAAAAGTTAAGTATTTGTAATTTTGTTTAGGGGAGTCTGAGATAAAACATAAAACGCGATCGCACTGATATAAACAGGCTACTGATAACAGTTGGTAATTAGCTAGCAGAGGAGAACCACTGTGACGAGGAGGACGCGGTACGGATGCAAAGGAAACCTCAAACTGATGCCGAAGTGACAGAGGGCTGCTGACTGGAAACCTGTATGCGCTTTTCACTTTGCCTTGTATGTTTATGCTGCAGTGTCAGGACTGAATGGCATTAATTGTTTTGAATGATTTTTGTGTTGCCAAATAAAGTTTTTACATTTTTAAGAAAAGTCTGCAGCTGTCGCTCGTGACTTGTTGGATGTTAAGTTCCTGGGTTTTCTGTCCATATTCAAACATAAATGAGTATTAGCCACTAGACTGAACTAATAACATTTTAGCACATCTTCACTTTAACAAAGATAAAAACAATAATGCCGTCAGCAAACGAACATATCCCATGAGTCTCGGCCACTGCCAACCTGCAGGGTCAGCGAACAGGACTGGGAGTTGCAGCTGAATCGTTAACTTGTTCTTTTACTAGATGTTTGGGCTCCATTTTAGAAACGTCCTGTGACTGTAACTATCAGAATGAATGTTGGCTGCAGTTAAAACGTCCACTGGGAACGTTTTAAGATTGCCAATAAATTATTCACCTAAACACAGGGGAATTTGACACTTCAGAGACACGAGCTGCTCCAGCAAAACTGAACTTTGTGAAGAAACTTGAAACTGGCCATTGAGTTTTGTTTTCAGTCTCTTCTCAAAAATCCTTGAAGCATTAAATGCTAAAAGCTTTCAGAAGAAGTGGCAGATCCTCTTTTCTAACCTTACTACTGGAGACCTGTTTCTGTGCTTCCCTTATCCATTTGTTTGGTGTTTATCGGTTCTATATACATTTAATTTCTGGCCTGTTTCCAGCTCAAATGCAGAACTGCTGACTAGTCACCTCTCTATTCCAGTCTCCCAGTTAAATCTGGTTATTTTCTGTTGATTGTGGAACAGTTGATGCCACTGCTGTGTCTTCTTCCTCCTCTTGGTATTTTTAAATCCTTCTTAAGTCTCTTTTTTTTTTATTTCTGCACTATTGTTCTTATCCTGTCTGTCTTCTGTTTCTGCTGACTGCGTCACCTTGTTATACATTTGTCTTCATTTTCATTATCTGAATCAATTTTTCCTGGACAGAGGTTTTGTCAGTGTTTGTCGTGTATGAGATGATAAATAAAGTGACTCCACCTGACTCAGGATTTCACTGGAACATCAGAACTTTACTGTGAATGGGAGTTTATCTCACAGCTCAGTCTTATCTCTGGAGACAGTACACTGAAAGTATTTAAACCACCCAACACACACACACACACCAGTGGGGCAGTAAAGCCTCCTCTGTGAAGGTGATAATGTTGATTTTGAACCGAAACCGGTCCTTGGTGATAAACCTGGGATGATCAAACTAATAGAAACACATCAGTAACATAACACAGCTCAGAGTGTCTGTTGTTGGGGTGTGCACAGGCTCATGGTCACTCCAGAAACATCCCGTAAAGTTTAATTATTATAATTCAGTTTTCCTTATGTAGTTGTGTTATTTTTTCATTGCTAAAAGACAAGTTAATTTTATCGCGTGTGTACAGTGGTAGATTAAAAAGAGAAAACAGAATTAAGTGGATAAAGCAGAAAAGAGCAACTGTGCATCCACCATGCAGTGTGAGATATGACTAAACCTGGCACACAGACAGTCTGAAGCTATGATTTAAATAAGCAGAGCTGCAATTTTAACATGATTGCTTATGTATGCGAATCATAAAAACTGATTGCTGCTTCTCCAGGTTTAGTCTGAGTCTGAGGACAGAGCGCAGACCTGGATCCTTCATAATTGATGAGACAAAATCTCCCGACAGCCACAGTACAAGACCCACACTGGTCCTCACAGATGTAGCCTTACAAGTACACACGCATTCCTTGGAAGCTAGTAATTCCTGGGAAAAACAGCTGACAGGAAGCAGCACATTCCCCGTAGGTATGTGTGTGTTGTTCCATGATCTTGTTTCCATTCCAGGCTCTGTGAGTGATGATAACACTGTTGCTCACTGGTTTCACCACTGAGACTGCAGGAGGAAGCTGATTCACAGCAGAGACCAATAAAACCTTCAAGCCTGAGGACCTGATTCGGCTTTGGTACATACACAACGCAGCGACCTGCAGGAGTCTGAGGTGCCAAGTCGGATCCCTTAGAGGGTGTTCCAGCTCCACCACTGAAGACAAGGTAACACAGAAGAGCAGCGTCACAGGGCCCAAACTACAACCTGACTGATGGATCAGAGAGGCCTGTTCCTGCTCCTGCCCTCAGCTCAGGGTGCTGAACCTCTGGACCAGGTTCACTCACACAACACTTTCTGTCGTCCTTCTCTGCTCTGTTGACTCATCGTGGTCAGTCAATGCATCTAAATGTAACTAAATCAAAGAACAAGCTTTTTTCATTTTTCCTCTTTCTGCAGTGAGTCAGGTGAACCTGCTGAGCACAGTCACCAAACGGTTCATCATCAGTGATGCACAGAGCACAGATTCTCAGCCTTTATAGCTCGTGACTCTTTAATTACTGTGTCTGCTAATATTCTGTATTTCTCTTCATGGCCCTTCATCTGTGCCCGTGTAAAGTGCATTCTGGGCTGGGTTTGGTTTGGTTTGGTTTGGTTTGGACTGCTCTTCTCCTGAAGTGCTACAGGTTTATCCTGAATATATCCCGTAGGTACAATGTCCTTCAGCTGCAGCATGTTTAAGGTTTAGAAAACTAAACCACTGGTATCAACTAAATGCAGGTGCACAGTCCTGGTTCCTCTGAATGTGCAGCTACTCTTAATATTGAGTTTATTTACTTTTATCTAGCAGTCATATGCAACAACTAGTGAGACCATAAAATTACTGCTGCCCTGGTAACGCTACAGGGTTACAAAATCTAAAAAAAAGTGACAAAATAAAAAGATACTAGGTGTATGACTTTCAGTTGCTTAGTATTATATTTTAGTAAAACCTCTCATCTTCTGTCTTGTCCAGAGTCAGAGGCCTCAGACATCTCCAGCAGCTACAAAGATGAGTCCAAATGTGTGTAGCCTAGCTTAGCACAAAGAGTGGAAGCAGAGGGAAACTACTAGCCTCGCTCCATCTGCAGCACTTGGATCCAGACTTCCATTAAAATACTTTGTATCATGTTATAAATGAACTAACTCTCAGAGTTAATCCAAGAAAACTCTTTTTCAAACATGTGCAGTCATCCAGACTCACTTTATCTGACCAGACTAGACCAACTACAGCCTGCAGGGGGCGCTAGCAGAGGCTCTGATGTTAGAAGGAGGAAGGTAAACCTGTTTATCTTATCATGGATGTGTGTATACAGTCTTATCTTTATAATGAGTGTGTGAAGATTAGGTGTCGGCTCTTGGAATTCAAAGAAACCTGTGTGTTTTTGTGTTTCAGGTGCATCTCACCTGAGATCAAAGACAGAGGAAGCCCTGGGTGGGTGGGGGGGGACTTCTCATTTTCATCCAGCGGTGTGACAACTCGGCCTATTGATGACAACAAGAGAAACTGTTTGACTCACACAGGAAACAATGACTCCTTCACCTGAGCCCACCAGCTCTGTGTTCAGCCAGCAGCAACTCGGCTCTGTGGGCGGAACCGTGTCCCAGAGTGAGATACCTCGGCATCTACTGACAGATCAGACAGCCATGTCCAGACACTGGTGGGTCACTGCAGAGATGAAACCAAACCTCCAGATATTGACTGACTCCAACCAGGTCAGGTATTATTATCCCATCCTTCACCTGTGGCTGTTAAAAATAAACCCGTGTGTGGGTTGTGCTATCAGACACACAGATAATGAAACACACAGGTGGATCGGCTCTCGCTGCTGTCGGACTCTCCCCACCTGCTCACAACTGTCACTGGTTTACTCGCAAACACAACCTCATTCTCGTTATCTCTGAATCAGGCTCCGTTATGTTTGAGAACTTTAGTTTTTTTCTTATTTCACTTAAAAGCAAATTTGTGGGAAATGCTAAGAAAACACAAAACCTGAAAATGAATTTTGTGCATAGTTGCAAAGTGTTTGTTTCGGTGACCGTCCACCAACATCGCCCCCAGGTCAAAGTCAGAAGGTGTGTTTGTGTTTTGGATGGAAGACCGAGTCTCTATGTCTCTCTGTGTAGGGCGGTGTCAATCCGCCTATGGCTGGAGGACATCTGGAGTTGTCCTGTCCTACGTTTGTGACCCTGGAAACTGGCTGCTGTCCACATACCTCTGGCGCCATAGTGAACTAAATATGGAGTTTCCTTCCTGGTGGTTGGAAGGATGAAATGCACAGAGAAGCAGGAAGCCGCTCCTCTGTTTGACTGATAACGCTGCTTGGCATCATGGGTAAACAGAGACACATGGAGGCTTATCAGCGGGCAGTTCACAGCTTTATCAGCTCAGCAGTTTGAGCTGTCAGCCGGAGTTTTACTTTGAGCTTTCTTTGGTTAAGCAGACGGCAGCTGTCTGATTAGATTACACACAAACCAGTATGACTGCTTTTCTCTGTCTGAGACCAACAAGTGTTCACGTCCTTTATTCATGTATCAGTACAACAGTGTAAAAAAGACCACTGTAAGTAAAAGTCCTGCTTTCAAAATCCTCCCAAAGCACCGAGAGGTACTGAGCTAGTAAAAGTATTCATTATGCAGCTGTGTACCATAATATACAGGATTATGTCATCAGGTGATCACTGATGCTTTAATGTGTAACATTTAGCTATTATTAGTTATAGTTTTACAGAAGATATGGGCTTTTCTAGATACGATTTTAGTACATGAGCTATTTTTTGTTTTTGGCCAAATTACTCGTCGACAAAAAGAAACTTATACCAAGTTACATGAAGTAAGAAATGAGAAAATGTGCCGTCAGTGTTGTCCAACTCAGTTACACACTTTTATTTATGCAGTGCATCAAATTTTAAGCTCATCATAGGTTTGGCATGTAACTACTCAGGTAAAGTACTTGAAAGTAAATGTTTTTAGTTACTCTGCACCACTACGTGCGACTGTGCTCCAGCCGCCTCACCTGAGCTGTGAACTGTCAGTGAGTTCGTGTCAGAAACCACAGCAGATGAAAGTTCTCAGAAAACAAGAGGTGTAGTGTGTGAAGCTCAGGAAATGCTGCAGTATTTTAGGTTACCATCTTCCTGAGCTGCTGGTTCATGTACTTTCACAAAAAAAGTTTAGACCTGTCTGTCATTTTATTTCTCTTCAGCTCACTGCTGTCACGAGTGGAAAAGCCATCCCCGCTGATGGAGAACAATCGTCAGGCTTGCGTAGAAATTCTGAGTGAACCGCAAGAAACAGTCATAGGGAAAGTGAATACATGGTGAGTTTCTATCTATTACTATTTAGGAGCCAGCTTGTTCTTCACTTGGTGCTGTTGAACCACTGCAGAAGAAGAGCACAAAATGCTTCAGTCTAAGTTCTCACAGCAGAGGACAACACGGAGCCTCTGTTACAAGGCTGGATGTTTAGTTATTAAACTGTCAGTAGGGTTTTCCTTCTCCTGGATCAGAACCTGGTCTCTCCTCAGCTCCCTGTTGGGCCCCTGGCGTCTGCCAGACAGTGAAGCATGTTTCTGCTGCTTCTCAACTCGATTCAGCAGTGAATGAGCTGCATTCATATAGTGTGTTTATCCAAAGCAGTTTATGCTCATGCACGGTGCCAGTCTGCCCTGGGACTCCTCCACATCCTGCACACTGCTGGTGGAGCTGACAGCCCAGTCAAAGCCATTAAACCAGTGCAGAAGAAGAGGAGGTGATTCAGAGAACTGTGGTCGAATCTCAGAAGATGGAAAACATGATGGAAATCTGACATTTCTGTAGTTTCATGTGTTGTTGTGAAGGTCACAGCCTCCTCACTGCTCCACACACAGCTGAGGTTTTCATAAGTGACCACATCTATTCACTGAGTTTGTTTCATTTGGATTTTCACACAAAACAAAACACTTGCACACTAGTGTAACCTTTTGAACTTCTGCTGTGAATTTCATTTAAATTTCCTTTGACTCTGGTATTTCCACTCAG